TGTTTCGGGTTTTCTTTTGTAGTTAGATTAGCTTTCCCTCACTGTCCTAGCCAGCTCCATTTTGTTTATTTTCTTTCCTTTGGCACCACTCTAATTCCTTACACTTGATATCATGCTTCCTAGTCCCTCACCAAAACCCACCTGGTTCCAAAAGAATTATCCTAAATGTTACACCCCTTTACCCCTAGACACTTGGGGTCGTAACAGTAGTACTGAAGCTTTATGACCACGGCAAGTGAAAATTAATGGTCTAAAACCATGGTTCTTAAACTGTGGTATGCCAGATGACCCTGGAAATTTGTTGTGTGCACAGAAAAATTGGGACTGGTTTTCATGTTTTCTATTTTAATAAAATTAGTTTGTGTCAAATACGCAGTCTACGTACTTAGCTACAATGATACAGCGCGCGCTAAAACTTAAGTGGACACAAGAACTTCTATGTAATTCTATACCATTGTATAGGAATGCATGCTACAAAATGAGTTATCTTAAGCAAATAGGGAGATAGGTGAATTTGTGTCACTTTAGAACACTCCCAATCATGTAAGCACAGGAAAGCGTGATAGATAACAGAAAAATATTTAAGGACTAGGTTTTGAGAAAAATACACTAAGCAGTGTTTTGCTCCCATGTGCATTAAATAAAAAGTTATTTTATTTCTGAGACAGACTCCTGACTGACTTTTATGGGGAAATGGAAAAATGCAAGCTTGCGAATTGCTAAAGCAGGTAAGCCCCACACTATTAGTGAAGACTTTTGTTTACCGTTGGCAAAATAACTGACATGTATTATGTGTGGAGATAAAGCTGCTAAACAGCTCAACCTGCTGCCCTTTTCAAATGACAGTCACTCATAGAATTATTGATATGTCAAAAGTATTTGTGATAGAGCATGTTAAGATGAGCAGATGCTTTTCGCTGCAATTAGATGGGTTTGTAGATGTCGTTGATTTGGCCAATTTGCTTGTTTACGTTAGATATGAGTTTGAGGGCATGTCCCATGGGGATTTTCTGTTCTGTAAGCCGCTACCAACAAGAACTACAAAATAACACATATTTCAGCTTCTGAAAAAATACGTTCGGAGTTTATACAGACGGTGCTAGAGCGATGACAAGCCGACACAGCGGTGTAGTTGCACAAACTAGAGAGGTTGCTCCACATGTGAAGTGGACACCTGCAGCATCCACCGCATTAGACTCTGCTGTCAAAGTTGTGAATTGTATCACGGCTCGACCAATGAATTCACGTCTGTTCAGTGTGCTTTGTAATGTGGCTGGTAAAATTAGCTACCTGGCTGATATATTCTTACGTTTGAATGAGCTGAATATGGGACTGCAGGGGCTCTCTTTAACAATTTCAGATGTGTCTAACAAGATCAATGCTATGAAGAAAAGCTGCAGCATTTTGTTAATAAAATCAACACGTGATCTCACTTGCTTTCCCAACCTTAGAGAACTATCTGCACACATATGGTCTGACACTTGATGCTGCTGCTTGTGATGTGATTGCAGTGCACCTCTTGTCATTGGAAGAACAGTTCTCAGTATTTTCCAGATGAGGCCACATCAGAGTGAATCAGGAACCCCTTTACTGTTATAGTAATACCCAAGGATCTGACCTGTGCTGAACAAGAGAAGTTTCTCGAGTTATCATCTGATGTGACTTTGATGTCAGAATTGAAACGATAGTCACTGTTGGATTTCTGGATCCAAAGACAGAGTGAATACCCAGCCCTCTCATTAAAGGCTGTGAAGTTTTTTATGCCTTTTGCTACTACCTACGGTACCTTTGTGAGAAAGGCGTCTCTGCTCTCACTTCAATCAAGACAAAGTACCACAATTAAATGGATGCTGAGCCAGATTTGTGTTTGAAGTTTACTGCCCTCGTCCCTGACATTGCAAGACTTTGCTCGACTAACAGGCTCACCCCTCTCACTGAAATGATAAGTGCTTAGTGCTATTTTTATTATATGTGTGTGTGTGCACGCGTGTTCATGTTTGTCATTGAGATTTTCTGTGGTTCCTATGAGAAGATGACTTGTACTTGGATGCTTTGGTTTGATCAGGGGTGGTACTTGGTCCAAACAGTTTGAGAACCAGCAGAAGCAGAAAATAACTGTATTTTTGGTGATGATATTCCTGTATTATTTTCTTTATTTGCATTAAGTGGCATGTACAGTATATATACAGTTAATGGGATAAATACAGAAATAGGTGAACATACATTTTAACAGATATATGCAAATATAACATATAATGTTTATTCATCAGAAGCTGTTTTTGTATTGCACATGTTGTGGTTGATGATGTTAGGGATTTGTAGGAAAACCAAACTGAAAGTGCAGAGAGGAGAGAAAGACAAGCTGCTAAGTCAATAGATCAGCAATTCTGGCAATTATTTTTAATTTGTGTCTCAGATTCCTGTATGGAAATGGTTAGAAACATGTTCACAACATTGAGTCGTCTTTGCATCTCAAAGAAAAAAATATGTAAAATCCCTTTATATTAAAAGGGAAATACACAAGTATTGCAATGATTGCAGAACTACCAACCCTCACTTGCTTTCTTTTAAGATAAATCTGTTAGATAAATAAGATGCTGTTACATGTCTTAGTTGTGATTATCAGTTACTTAGAACAATACTTTACTTAATTTCAGATGCTACCATAAAACTGCTCCCAAGAAAAACTCTGAAGTTGTAGTGTCACTGGCAACACTATCGCTTTGAAATGCGTGTTGTACAGCAGGTAAGAGGAAGAAGAGCAACCTGAAAGCTTTGAGGAAGTAGTGCCTCAGGCCATTCAATACAGAAGCCTTCCTTTTCATGTCTATTTTTACACTCTCATCCCTATTGTACAAAGACTATTATTTAATATTCCAACCATTTTCATTCTGATTGTTATGATACTAACAGTATTATAACAATCAGAATGAAAACAACCAATCAAATTGTGTTTTTGTGTAAATTGTGTGAACAAATCTAACACATTTCTATATATATTAGCATTTTGAAGAGAACATTAATTGAACAGTTAATTATTTTTCACATAATCCCACAAATAACAGAAAGTATATATTTTTTAGTCTAAAACTGGTATGTGGCAAATGCTGACCCCTGGGCAACAATATGCAACCTAGAGCCAGATTATAACCACATTACACATGCATGTTTACACATACCTAAATGAAAAGACAAACTGAATGTTAAAGTGATATGTCTGTCAATATGTCTGTCACAGGATTAGCTAAAAGTTCATCAAGAAATTATCCAATGTAGTTCATAATTTCAGTCAGACATATGGATTATGACTTATTTGATTAGTTACTATAGTTTAGAGCTACTATATAGAGTAGTTAGTCTTCAGTAGTTAAATGTTTTACTGTAACTTCAAATTAATAATCATCTCTTACCTGACTATAGTTAAAAGGTAACATTTCAAAGGTCTGTGTGTGAATGACTTGTCAGTAGAGGACACTCACCCTTTGATTTGTGTGGGTCATAATGCCCCAGTATAGTGATGGGCACACTATACTGTAAAAAGGTGCTGTCCTTTGGATGAGATGTAAAACTGAGGTCCTTACTCTCTATAGGTCATTAAATATCCCACAGTGTTTCTTGAAAAGACTTGGGGTGTTACCCTGGCGTCCTGGCCAAATTTCCCATTGGCCTTTACCAATCATGGCCTCCTAATAATTCCCATCCACGAACTGGCTTCATCACTCTGTTCTTCCCCCCACTGATTGTGGGGTGATGTGTGTGATGCGTAGTGAGTGTACTGGCGCACTATGGCTGCCGTTCCATCATCCAGATGGGTAATGCACATTGGTGGTGGTGGAGGGGAGTCCCCATTCATATCCCGCGGCCGGCAGAGGAATCCTGCTCCACAGGGCTCCTGTGCAAGACCCTTTACCCCAACTGCTCTAAAGGTGCCATATAAATGGCTGACCCTGCGCTCTGACCACTGTCTGTGTGTCTCATGGAGATCGAGTTGAGGTATGCGAAAAGACAAATTCCTAATATGAGAAAATGTATATGGCCAATAAAGTGATCTTAATCTTAAAGTGCTTTGAGTTGAGTATCTAGAAAAGCTATATAAGTGTAATAATTTATTATTAATAATGACATGTCTATTCCTAGTCTTTCTAGAAGTGTAATTATTCTAAAATATATTTACCTTCCTCTTGAAGTCTAGTCTGTTCAACATTTCCTGGAGTGTAGTAACCTCTTGTTTCATATATTGATTGTTTCTTTCAGCTGGATCTGAGGATACAAGGTGACCAGAAAACATCTGTTAGCTGGCTCTGGTTATTTGTTCTGCAAGAAGGATTAGTGGCTGCATTATTCAGGTTAACATTGCTTCATTAGGCTTTATTATTTATTATCATAGTCCCCAGCAAACAAGAATTGAAAGATTTATGAAGCTATTAACAGTATAGAATCTTATCTGAACATGATGCCCTTTGAAAGCATTTCAGTGTCATTGTTTTTTTCAGAAGGTTTTTGATTATATCCCTGGATTGGTTATTTTCAATTACAAATGGAATGCCCATCCCTGTTTTTATTTTCTTACATTTGTTTTGCTTCAATATAAAGCAAAAGCCTTGTATTTTCAATTTTCATAAAATAAATGTTAGAGTCAAAACAACAAATCTAGGAAAAGAAAAAGCATAGTAAGGAAAAATGTGTTTACCTTATTTAAAAATTAGGATTTAGAAAACAACTGCATTTAAAAAATAATTAACAACTAATTTTAAAATAAAGGTAGTTCAGAAACATTTTATGGTTTTGTAATTTTTGTTTTGTATGTATAGATTTTATCATGAACTGTATGACTATTTAAGTTAGATTTATACTTTATAGAAAATTAAAATCAATACATTAAAAATTGAAGCAGTAATTCTAAAGCAAAATCCACCTCTTGTTTGCAGTGTTTTGAATCTGAAGTCAAAGTCATCCTGCATGTCTTCCAAATACTTCACTCCCTGCTCAATCATCTGTTTATAGAGGGCATGTAAAAAAAAGCAAGTTAGTAGTATTTTAAATTCCAACTGCAATTATTGTAAAATCAAATGCATTGTTCTGAACTACACACAATGGAATATAATTCACTACACAGGAAATATATATTTATTCACACAAACTAGAGGACATAACTGAAAACTAAGAGGAAGTTTGCTTAAAAAAGAAAACAGGAAGCACTATTTTACACAAAGGACTGTGACTGTGGGTGTTCTCAACAAACTACCCAGGCATGTTGTTGAAGGCTGGAAGTATTGTTAAGGACACCAGTCATCCTGGTTCCTCACTTTTCTCCCTCTTTCCCTCTGGTAAGCATTATAGGAGCATAAAGGCATGAACGTCTAGACTCAGAGACATCTTCTTCCCTCAAGTTGTCAGATTATTGAACTCTACCCTTACCAATGGCTCACAGGTTTTTTTTTTCTCTAAGACCTACGTTATTTAACCTGTTGTTGTTGCTGCCGCTGTTCTGTTTTTGTTTTTGGTAATTCCTTGATGTCTTTGTATAGGAGCATACATACAAATAAGCATTTCATTGCACTTGGGCATATGACAATAAACTCTACTACTACTGAAGCTGATACCCTGGCTTCTTTCAAGGAATTTCTGTATATGTTTCTTGGGTCAATCAGTTACTAAAACCCAAGAGAGCTATATGGACTAAAAAGTCTTCTCTGTTGTAAAAATATAAGAACATTACAGAAATATAAGAACACATTTTCTAGGGTCATTGTTAGAGCTCTGTAAGTGTTTGCAATGGTTAATTTACATGGTATATATTTCTACTATTTCTAGGCTAAAATGTGTTTTCATAGTTTTTCACATTTTTTCAAGCTTGACCACTGTTCTCTATGCTTAACAAATCGTATATGTGGTCTTATATGTGTCCACAGTAAGCTAATTGGTATATATATCAGAATGTTGCAATTAGGTATATCACAGCTGGAGGGTATCGATTCATTATGGTTCACTCATTTACCATCAAAACACTTCAGCAGTGCTACTAACAGAGGTGCTAATGTAAAATCCAAACCAAATAAGCTGCATGCAATAACAGAAAGAAAATCTAAGGATTTTTTCTTGAACCGTGATTTTATATTAGCTGCTCAGCTGGGTGTCTTGAACCTGAGTATAGTCATCAGGTGACTGATGATTTCCGAGTCAGACATGCCAGTTGAGGTCACCAATGATGATGACTGTATACTGTACACATAAGACCAAAAAAGATTTAGTGTATTCTGTAAAGTGGGCTAGATGGGCCCACATGGTCTCCTCTCATTTACAATTTTACTTTTGTTCCAATGTTAAATGCACTGAGACACACAGTACCACAGATTACTTTTGAGCTTTCTGTCTCTTTTAAGGCTGTAGATATATTTGAAAAGTAAATAGTTTTCAACAGATTGAAACCATTCAAAAAATGTACAAAATCATCACTCAGCCAATTTTGTGCCATTGCTTAGGGAATCCTGGTAATAGTCTATGGACTATACTACAAAGTAGCTCAAACCCAAAAGTCAAGTGTTGCCTAGGCTGGGACTGGGACTCAACCAGTGGTTCAAAGCAGTGCCTTTGTTCAATAAGCCTCTCAGGAGTGTTTTTCTTTCTTACCTGCACACTGCTCCTTATCACAGCTATTCTGTTATCTAGATTCCTCTGTCTTTCAAAAACGATTGAATTTTGCATTGACTTCTCCAGTGGCCCCTAAAATATAACAAAAAGACAACTGAGTTCAACCCAACATATATTTAGCAAGAATAAATTAAGTTTGGAAAATATTTCTGGGCAAACTGGGTTAAGACAAAGAAAATGATGATGCAAGTATTTACCATGGAGTGGTTAATTTTCACAATGGTTTTGCTTTCCCAGCACGTCAAGTTCTCCCAGGTCAGGGCTCTGCTCACCATTTCCTTTGCTTTTAGTAAGCTTTGGTGCTACACAGTGATTTTTCTATTCCAGCAGTTTAGTTTCATTTCGTAATTCATCATTCAGGCTCTCACTCTGGCTTTCTCCCAGGTCTAAGGTACATCTTACAGGTTCAGTGCTCTGCTTATATGGGCTGGAGCAGGGTGCACAGATGATCTCTGTTTCAGTAATTGCCGGCATTTGCTGTCTTGTGCCTGACATCTATGCTCAGCCATCTTGGTCAGGAGGAAAGGTTCTAAAAATTGTAAGACACCTTGCAAAAAGTAACATGGTATCATAGTATGTATTATATGCTCATCTTTACTGTATGTAGCAGTTAAAATTGCATTTGCTTTCTAAATTAGTCTTTGCTGTTATCTAGTGATTTTAAAAAATAACTGCATTTAGAGATGTAATTTCTGCAAGAGGAGTTGTTAATAAAGAGGATATACTTTATATCATCCAATCATCTTCAAATCCACCTTCCTTAGTTATTGCTTGTATCAGTAATACCTTTTGCAAGATGGATACTACATAAGATAAATCACAAAAAGTTGGATAAATATTCAGAAGAAACACACATTGTATGTGTGCATGTTTCAAAATCATATATTGGCTTTTAGACATTCCCAATTTATTGAAAAACTGTATTTTCTATTTTATAATTATATTGTTGGAAGCCACAAAGAAATTGTTAATGAGATGCATACAGGCTACAACTAGTATAGCAAGTCTTACATTCTATTTTTGCAGAAGTCTGCCGTTATTCTATATAGACTTATTCATAACCAACCAGCACAGACTCTTATTGCTTATCACCTGGAGAGAAGCCAGACTATTAAGCTTTTTTCCCTGACCAATACTTTCCCAAAACAATCCCTCTCTTTGAAACAATACGGTATAAAAAATAAAACAGACAAACAGAAAGTTAAGATATATAGTCTAAATGTACAATAGATTGTAAATAAGGAATGCTTATGCTAAATGTAAATAATGCATAAGATTTCATTTCAGAATTCTGCACACAATTTTGGACACAATGTTTCAAAACCTTTGCTACTGTAGCGGGAATGCTTATTAATAAGACATAATTAACATAAGATGAGATCACTTTATTGGCCATATACAATTTCTTGTATTAGGAATTTGTATTTTCACATACCCCAACTTGCTTTCCATAAGGTCACACAGACAGTGAGAGAAGCTTGGGGTGAGAGCGCAGGGCACCCCTGGAGCAGTTGGGGGTTAAGGGCCTTGCTCAGGGGCCCAATGAATAGGTTTCCTCTGCCGGCCACGGGATACGAACCCGCAACCTTCCAGCCACAGGCACAGATCCTTAACCACAGAAGCCACCACATGGCTCCAATTAAGTGTTGCTGTGCTTTCCTAAATGAGGCCCCGTCTCTCTTCCTCATCTCTGTGGTGCAGCCACAGAGAAGCTATTCATGCAGTTTCTGATTTAAAGTGTTTCCTCTCCGATAAGGAGCAGCTCCCAAATATGGATACACCCAGCCATGCTTGGCTATCATGATTAATGGTCATTCCTGGCGCCTATCTGTCTGTGAGACTCTTGGGAACATCTGGATTGCAGTCCTAGATGTCAGGGGTCATTGTCACTCATCTCTCACCTTGATCAACCAATCAGGAACCTGCAGGGCGTGGTAACCCCACATGGGTCTCAAATGCCCGCTAAACTTTGGACCAATCATCACCTCTTTGTTCTGGATAAAAATACACTGCAGGCTCAGAACTTTGCTTCTCCGGCCATTTCTGCATACCCTTAAAGACAATAACGTGATGGCCAGTGTTGTCTGTACAGGGACTGGAACTTTGTTCCAGTAAATCATCAGCCCCAGGAATGCCCGAATATAAGGGTTCAACTTGCTAGCCGCCAACGTGGACACTTCGCTTGATCACCAAAGTATACGTTTGGACTCTTGTCAACAATCTGAATAAGTTTTATTCAGCAGTAGCACTACACCAGAAGCAAACCAAGTTTCTTCCTCTTAAAGAATGACTTGCTCAGACCTGCAGTCACCCTCTGTGCATAAATACTTTTTACTAGTCAGTCGGACAACAAGTTTGTCCCTGGGAGAGCAACGACTGCACTGCCCGCCGCATTTAGATTCCTCTCTGCTTCCAACTCTGGCCTGCACCAGGATTGGTTCGGTGGGAGCCAGAGGACGCCGAGAGGACGCCAGTTGGATGTTGCTGCAACAGAGGCTGTCAGCTGATCTTTGGTGTCCATGCTGGGAAATACGAATCCATATCTGGATAAGTAAACCCAATATTCTACATTGCATCTCGAGAATTCAATTGTTACCTCAACACAAGTTGATATCAATTTAATTCATATGAGTAATGTATTTACTTCTGAGAATCTAATGTAGAAGTGATATTAATGAGACTGATTAATGAAACAGTATAGCTAACTGGTAGACTGAATGCATATTCCTTGCTTGTATCTCTTTGTGTTTTGCATCTCTTCGTGATTATACACCATTTTGATAAACCTCACAGTTAGATCTGCCATCTGTATCCAGGCAGACTGTTATGCTTTATTTGCACAATTTATGTATTAATAAATGTATCTCGTGTATTTGAATCTGTGTATGTGCATCGCTGATCGATTAATTTTCTAATAGCCATAAAAGAATCACCTTGTGGTTACTGCTACAATTAATAAATTGTTCCAGTAAATTCACAAAACTTCTACACAGGGAATTTATGCCAGGGAATAAAAAAAAAAACATGCTATGGTATCTCGTAATTGTGACTTAGTATCTCAGAATTGCAACTTAAAAACTCAGAATAACGACTTTATATCTCGCAATTCCGACTTTTTATCTCACATTTGTGACTTCGAAATAGCCCACATTTCATTGTCTGTCCTTTTGTTATTGTAACGGATTCGGGTTCTAGGGCTTGTGCCCCTTGCCGCTGCCACCCTAGTTCATGCATCACTGCATTGGCTCGAACCAAGGTCTTGCCAGCTGAGCTAAAGAAGACCTTTTTAAGTAAAAAAGGTCATACAATGGAAATATGTAAAAAGTATAAATTTCAGCTTTTATAATGGTGAATTCCTCTGGATGTAAAGTGTCTTTTTCTGTATCTTTTTCATATTCTGTCTCCGTTTTTGTATTTCTGGTGTTTAAATAAAAACTTTTTTAAAAAGCCCACCGTCCACTATTCCATCCGGGTACTATGGAAGCCTCACTGGCGGAAATGGGATTCCATAAAAATTTGTGTAATTAATTTGATTTTTATCAGGGCACTGTACCAGACAAGCCTTCAGGCCTATAGATCCTATGATCCTTTACGATTTATGAATATAGTGTAACGGCCAACATACAGGTTGTACGATCTGGTTGCAGTATGGTGACGGCACCGCCCTCCCCTGCGCATAACAGGGATGCTGGCCCCTGGGGCTAAAGAAAGTGTTCTTTAGCTCAGCAGGCAAGACCTGGATTCGAGCCAATGCAGTGAGGCACGAACTAGGGTGAGAGCAGCGAGGGCACAAGCCCTAGAACCCGAATCCGTTACAATAACAAAAGGATAGACAATGAAATGTGGGCTATTTTGAAGTCGCAAATGTCAAATAAAAAGTCACAATTGCGAGATATAAAGTCAGAATTCTGAGTTTTAAGTTGCAATTCTGAGATATAAAGTCACAATTGCGAGACATAAAGTTGTAATTCTGAGATATAAAGTCGCAACTGCGAGATACAACAGCACGTTTTTTTTTCTCCCTGGCGGAAACGGGCTTCCATACTACTCTGCAATCAATTCAGAGGAGATACATTCCTTGGTTTAAAGGAATGTTCTATAATTCCTGTAGCATGCTAAAAGAACGTTTTCTTTTAAATAACTTTTTTTAACAGAAAAGATTATGAGGTAATCTAATTTTAAATGCAATGCCAAAGCTCATCTGTTGTATGTCTTCAGAAAATATAGTGAAACACATAACAAAAAACATAATGTATTTCTGGCCACCACTGGACACAAAATAAACTGAACAAAACTTGGTTGCATTAAATTCTGGTGAGTAAGTCATTCATAGCACAACTATCTCATTCTCGTATGGTAAAAAATTATACAAGACATGCATTGTCCTTGGTTTGAAATCGCATAACCACATCTAAGAGCATATAATTGACCATGCTTTTAATGGAAGTATTATTTATCTTCATCCAGCATTTTAAATACCACCAACCAATGTTTTTACTAATAACAATTGAAGAGCCCCATATAAGAAATTCTTAATTTTCTTCACATTTACTTTGTTATTTTCCTTTTATTTCCTTAAGAGTGGTGGCTATTTCCACCTTTTTACAGAACCACCCCAATTTTAGATAAAAAGATTAACTAACCAGTTGAATGTTACTCTTTGTTACAGTTGAACTGTCCTAAAAGGCACGGTTATTCAGTCTGTGTTTAAAGATCAACTGCAAAATACCTGTTCCTGGATAGTAGCTGTAGCAATGATCCTCCTCTCTTCTCTCAGGCAGTTAGCAATCACACCAGCCATGTGTAAAGGATTGGTTTTATATTTTACCTGAAAAATATAGAATAAAAATAATATAATATTATTCATGAGCACTATTCAAGAAAAGTCTTGGACATATAAAACACAATAGAAGTGAAAAGATATTAAGCTTTATATTTAGCTGTGTTTTGAAAACACAGTAACAAAGGTTAATTTATAACCAGAAACATGACTGTATTGTGAAATACATTGCAATACAGCAGGAATTGATCCTTCTGGCTTTGTTATACATAAGCGAACGTCATCGGCACAAAGGGAGATGTTGTGTTCCTCCTGACCCACCAAGACACCAGAGACACCAGAGACACTCGGCAAGTGGCTCTATGACCAAAGCAAAAAGGAGGGGTGACAGGGGACAGCCTTCTCTTGTGCCCCTGCCAATCTGAAATCTATTGGACATGAGACCATTTGTAGCCACCACAGCTTGAGAAATAGTTTAATTAGATTAATATAGTTTGAGCCCAAATTAAACTTAACTTCTCAAGAGGGGCAAAGAGAAAATTCCATTTCATTCTATCAAATGCTTTTTCAGCATAGAAAGAGGCTTAGAATGTGGGTTCCTTATTCCTCTTGTCCAGATCTATGATATTAAATAAATGACAAACTGAACTATATCTGGATTTTACGAACCCTGTCTGACGGTATCATACTGTATATACAGTATATTTATACAGTATACAAACACACTGCTGTTCATTGCCATGTATAGTACGCTACTGTTTCAGTATATCTGTGGATTCGCATGTTGGGGGGGGTTTGATTATACTATGAATGAGTCCCTGGATATCATCCAACTTTCCGACTGATAAAAAATAAACCTTTGATGAGTTTGCACGAGAGAAAAAGATACCTTTTCAGAAGTTGTGTACTGTGCACAGTAGGAGAATTTGACAAACAGCTAAAGTTGCTTTAATAATTTAAAATCTGTCTGATTGTACTGCAGCTCTCAAGTAATTGAGCAAAAAGTAATCTTGCTCTTACAAGCGGATCTGTTAGCAGAGTTTGTGTTTATACACTGCACCCTTTTGAATTGATTTTTATCACCTTTATCACCTTCGTCTGTCTGGGGTATTGAAGTTGTATCCCTTCCTCAATTTAACATCTGATATGTCCCCAGTAAGCAGAGAGACTAAAACCCGCTATGGATTAAACTTGCAACATTTCTCAGACTGCGCCAAAGTCAGGCGCAGAGTAAAATCCTCTAAACCGAAAGCCACGATGGACACCACAATTACCAGTAATACAAACTGTAGTACCGTAATACCTGCAATACAAGAGAACACAAAAAACTATAACAACCCCAAGTGCACGCGTGAATCATGGAAAAAAAATCAACTCCACAAAACAGATCAAAGATCCTGAACAAGCACCCAAATATGCTAAATCCCCACTATGGTTACGACAAGGTGAAAGTGGGAAGCTGATTTTTTAAGCATTTTTTAAAGAACTTCAAAAATAAGAAACAATGACATGTCCCTCCCTAATTTAGCATGACTAGCATGACTTTAAAAACTTAAACTTGAAACAGTAGAACCTCAATTATATTCACCATTGTATTAACAGTTACAACAGATACAAATCTAAACCCAAATCCAAAACCTTTTAAAACAGTAGCTGTTAACTCTACTTCACACCTGCATGTCACAATCTCATTGTGCCCAGCAACCCTTTTGTCTGGAGTACTCTATGAATGAGTCCCTGAGGCATACCATCCAAGGTTTGGAATTATAAAAAAAAATCAAACCTTGTCGTGTACTGCTTGCAAAGCATCTGATTTTGACAAAACTTAAAAAGCTTTTTTTTCTTGAAGAATTTAAAATCTGTCCGCCTGACTGTATTGCAGCTTATTTTATTGAACTGTTTGGCCACCTACAGAGATATTCCGCTCTAAATTTAAGGTCTGCTTCTTTCAGGGTTTTGTTATGCGAAATGTTTTTGACACTTGTTAAACTGAGATCCTGACCGATTTGACTTTATATTTGCTCCATTAAGTTGAAACAGAAAAATAAGATGTTCTGTAAACTTTTTGGAATTCAATTTATTATATTATTTGTTCATTATAATTATTGTTAATAATAATAATAATTATTATATTATTTATTATAAAACCACTAACATCGACACAGGTGATGTTGCTGTTCATACAGTGTAGCCTCTCATTAATTTAAATTGCGCTGACAGGCACCCCTTTGAGTTTTAAACACCTTTATCACCTTTGTCTGTCTGGAGGGATTGTGAATTGAACATTCAAATACTGGGATATATAAAATTAATACCATATAGAAACATATACCTTTATCAATAAATTAATATTGTTAGTGGCGCTCAGACTCAACTCAACTTATTGGTAGCAAATTCTTCAAAAATGAAGTAGCTTCGTATTTCGGAAACATCATGATGGTTACACAAGGAAGTGAAACATGACAATTTGTTACAGTAGTAATAGTTAACCCTTCCAAATTGCTTTATCAGTCTGTCCGTGGGGGGTGGTGGGGGGCATCTCCGACTCCTCCGTATGCTCAAGTGATCGTAAAAGTCATGTAAGTATACTTTAATATATAAAATTAATAAAAACGTCAATGTTAACATTATATTTACAATTGAACTGGTTCAGGTGGGCAGATGTGTCCGCATGCACAGGCTGCAAAGGAACAAGTAATAGGTTTATTCCATGCTGAAAAGAGAAGAAAGAAAACACAACATTTCGGCCGTGGAGCTTCCTTCAGGTGTGAGAAAGACATGGCAGTAGGCAAAGGTAATGTAGCATGGGAGAACAAAAGCTGGGAGAGAGGAGGAGCAGGAGGCGGGAGCAGGGGATAGACAGACTGGCCAATCAGGTAGAGTGGCCAATCAGGTAGTGTGAAGTCAGGATAGGTGATGAGAGGTGTGAAATGAAACCTACAATGAATAGAGAGAATTTAGTAGAAAAGTCTGTCGTTGAGAGAAGGGGAAAGATTTGATCCTAGCTGCAGGATAATTTTAGTTTCGGTAGTCTTGATGTTGGAGTTAGGAAAACCAACCAGTTTTGAGAACAAAGACGGAGAGATACGTGTGATTTGTCATCACACTTCAAACCTGCGTCATAAAGAAAATAAAAATGGTTGTAAAGTTCTCCAAAGCCTTCTCAGTCAAGAACCGAGACTTCAAGTAGTGAGCTTCATCAGCATGCATAGGCTGCAAAGGATCAATTCAAGGTTTATTCCTTGCTGAAAAGGGAAGAAAGGAAACACAATATTTCGGCTGTGAATGTTTCTTTCAGGTGTGAAGAAAACAGAGTTCTCATTCAATTGCTGCCTAAACCTTCCCCCACACACCCTCCCCCGTTGCAATTAGGATATACACAAAGAAAGCACTGAAAGCTTTATATGGTTAGGTGTTTATATGGTTCGCATACGTTGGAATAGTAATTCTTGCATTATGAACTCACTTACACCTGGGACCCGCTTTACTCAAAATAAAGTTTCTGAAAATGGAACCAGTTGCTAGATGTTGTTTATATAAAAGTGAAAATTTTCACAAATTGCGAATTTTAAAATGCCTATGGTTTGGAGGCTCTCTGTCATTTGTTTGCAATGTTATTGACATATGAAGCATCCTGTCTCACAAATAGGCGTTTTAATACGAAAGTGAAAGTTGTGAAAACAGTGACAAATGAGCCTGAACAAAATACAAAGAGTTTGAAATAGATATCATTAAGAATGTAATATTGTTAATAGTGATCAGATACATTATTATAATTTGGTTTCAGTGGTGTTTTTAATATCCTTTATTATTCTTGATTATAATTGTTATACAGTGCCTTGCGAAAGTATTCGGCCCCCTTGAACTTTTCAACCTTTTGCCACATTTCAGGCTTCAAACATAAAGATATAAATTTTTTATTTTATGT